TGAACTTGTTCCGCAAAATAACAAATTCCACATCTGGAGAGAAGTCAGAGGGGTTGACGACTAGTCGGTTGGTGAGAGCGAGTGGGTCACTCGGGCAAGGGGCGATGTTATACCTATGTAGCGGAGGGCGGAGGTCAGTCGATGAAGCTGCCTACGCGTTAGCCGTGCGGATCAAGAGGGGGAGATACCTACAATCCTCTGCCTGATCCGCCACCGCCTTGATGCTGACCTTGACTCTGTCCCTGGTACGCTCTTTGCGACTGAGATGGGTGCTGCTGAGCCTGAGGCCTATACTCCGCCTTCTCAGTATAATACCCCTCTCCGCCGTGACCACCGCCCCTTGGAGGAAGAGGAGGTTGTGCCTGCCTCGCCTGATCGCCATAGCCACTGCCATACGTGTCTCTCTGCTGTTGCTGATGAGGATGAGGAGGGGCGGGACTATGTCGAGGAGGTAAAGACGGTTGCGAAGAGGGCGGAAGGGATGAGTAAGAACCGTTGTCCGCGGGGAGTCGCTCGTAGGGCGACGGGTTGCTACCACCTGCGCTGGGCGCACCTGCACGTCGAGCAGCGGGGGCGTTGGGGTCGTTCCTCTTGAAGAATGACATAATGGGGGGGGTAATGATGTTTGGAAGAAAGAGGAGTATGGGTATCTGATAAGGGTGATATGTATGGAGGTGAGTGGAGAGCCCGGGTAGCGCTCGTCATCATCTCTGTAGCTTAAGCTTGGTGACCGGTGGCGCGTGGCGTGGAGGCGACGATCCGACGGGATCAAATATAGTGCACCAGGGGCCAGTCTGTTGTGGCCTTGGACTGATTTAGAAGTCGAGTCGCCCCTAGGCCATTCCGCCGAGCATATCCTGCATTGCATTGGGTATGTACTCGAACGATGCTATGATGCTATAAACTGACACAACCACTACCTGTCCTATCGTGGCGCGCGGCTGTCTGAGGATGAATATTGAGACGATCATGGTATGTTATTAGGAGGAGAGAAAAGGTTGACGGATTGGGATGGGCTATGCACAAAGTAAGGTGAGGAAGACATATACGCTCTAGGTCGATATTGTAAATCGAGCCTAGGCTGTTTTCGCTCTCATGTGGGAGTTATACTCGTATATCCTTTGAACAGGGAAAGAAACGTTCGCAACGTCGTTTTATATACACAACAAGGATGATGATGATGGAGGCAAATGCAGAAACACAGAAACAGGAACAGGCATTACACTAAGAGACACACCTCACATCAACCCCAGCATCGCGGAAACGGCCACAGCGAAGATGGAAGTCACGGCTAGGCTCAGACCTGCTGAGATGGGCGACGCCGAAGAGTCCTTGGCGGCAGTGTTGGCCGAAGCGCCGGTGGCTTGAGCACCTGATGAAGTCTCGGCGGAGTTGGCGGCATCGGCCTTGGCGGCCTCATCCTTTGGTGATACGGTGGAAGACTCGGGAAGGACGGAAGCGGCGAGGACGGGCTGTGTACCGATTTCACCGGAACCGATCATGACCATCTTACCCTGCGAGGCGACGCCGTCGACGACGAGGAAGACCATAGCGGGACCGGGCTGGAAGATGTTTGAGTTGGGAGGCATCTGAGAGACATGCAAGGTGACCTCTCCGGAGTCCGAGTTTTTGGTGTAAGAGGTGGCAAGCTCGAGGTATCTCTGACCAAAGTTGATGGCGTGGGTAGAGAAACCAGTTCGAACAACGGTGACCTTGGCGTTGGAGGGGTCGGAGCTGGCATTGGAGGGAGTGTACGTGAGGTTCCATGCGGCACCGCCGTAAGAAAGGGAAGAGGGGAAACCGGAAGCTACGGGTCGCTCCTCATTGTACCAGGTGGGGTACCACTGCTCTACCTCGTACGAAGTGCCCCATTGCTCGAAAGTGACATCCTTGTTTGGGTTGGAACCGGAGACGAGGATGGACGAGTCGGCGAGTAAGATGGCAGTTGAGTGGTACATTCGCTCCTGGGTCGATTCACCGAGTCCATCTCGAGACCATCGAGAGCCAGAGGGAGCAGAAGGGTTGTAAATGGCAGGCTGGTAGAGCGGTACCTGACCGTATGATTGGCCGATGGAGTATTTCTCGTCGCCATAACCGGCAGTTCCCATGTTGACACCGTTGCCCATCCACATGGTTCCGTCGGGCAGGTAGATGAACTGACCCATACTTCTTCCCTCGGGCATGTCGTCGTCGTCGGTGTATGTGGGGTTGGCGTCTTCAGGGCTGATTCGGACACAAGAGTCGTCGGCCTGGATGGCGGTGACGTTGAAGCCGGCTCCACCGTCTGAAGATTTCTCAAAGGGAGCGTTGGAACCACCGCAGAAGAGAATGGTGGCGGTGTAGTTGTTGGCGGGCGTCAAGGGGAGAAGGGCGGTGGCAGCGGACGCAGGGTAGACTCGAACGGCGTAGGGCATGTCGGGGAGAGGGATCTCCTTCTGCGCATCCATGTCGTACAGGATGGTCTTGTAGGCGGCTTGCATGAAGAGCTTGCCTAGGGGCGTGATCAGTCGAGGTGAGAGCAAGGAGTAGGTCAGTCGGGGTGAGAGCTTGGAGCAGGTCTGCGGCGCACTTACCACCGGGGAGGAGCCATGTCAGAGGGAAGAGGTTGACAGGGACGGTGTAGTCGAGGAAGTCCATCTTGATGGCACCTGATGATTTCTTGGGCCAGTACTCGTAGGTTGGGTTGTTCTGCACTTTCGTGGAGACGTAGCTGGGAGGCAATGGATCAGCATCGTGTGGGATGAGAACGAGAAGTGGCTGGAGGAGGTATCACATGATGCGCTAGGCGAGCGGTTGGCTTGCCCAACTCACCCTCCGTTGTTATCACCACCGAGTACGATGAGGGATCCATCGCCGAGAATCTCTACTGAGGGATACCATCGCTTGCCCTATAGCCACAAGATATCAGCTAGGGACGATTCACCGCAATTGAGATGTACCCACGCTCATGGTCAAAGCGTCACCGCCCTCCTGCCAAGCACAATTGCCATCATCACAAGGATTCAGCAGTCTGATGGCCGCACCACCATCGGTATTCAGGTAAGGGTTCTCGTTGTTCTTGTCCTTTGTAGCGACACCCTCGTACGTGACGGGTTGGTTGCCGCCAAACACTACCCACGATCCGTTGGCGACGGGGAGACCGGCGGCGCAGAAGGTGTTGGAGGACACTTGCATGGCGGTGGGCTCGTTTGTACCGAGGTCGTATGAAACGCCCCATGCGGGGTGCGTCAAGCCGTCATTGTTGGTGACAGTCATCGAGTTGTTTTCGGCCTCTGCGGGGCAGCAGTGATCAGCGGGAGTTGGAGGGGTGATCGCGATCAGACGTCGTCGCGATGAACGTTCGCCGCCACTCACTATCCAGGATATATACCGTCTTCTCGGTACCCAAGAACATCATCTGCGCCGACACACCAGAATCGCCGACAATCTTGAAGCCACCGGGCACGGCCCCCGGATCTCTCTCACCGAGGACGTGCCGTCTTGACGCAGCGAGCTCTCGATGTCGGTTCTGTCTTTCTACTGGAGGAAGGTTGGATACGGCTGATACGGAGGACGAGGCGAGGAGGAGGAAAGGGAGCGTGGATCGGAGAAGGGAGCGGAGAGGGCGGGACTGGGTTCGTGATTGGGTCATTTTGAAAAACGAGTGTGGTGGGTTTGTGATGTAGGAATCCGAGATGTCTATACTTATATTATAAAGTCGAGTAGCTGAATGAAACGAGTGTGGACTCTTGGAATTGGGGTTAAGACTGACTTGGTCGACAGGTGGTAGTTTGTCCGTATCGATCCGCAGATGAGTCTCGAAAGGAGCGTCGAGAGGCGTAACGTGTAACAAGGAAGGCTGTGTTAGGAGGTCGAGGCTTGAGGATGTGATGATGAAGTGCAAGTGCGAGGTGGTCCGGGTATTGAGATGAGTGAGTGTCTGGCTACAGTATCAGCAATGTGCGATGTTTGATGTTTGGAGCGTCCCGTGCGACAGGAATAACATGTCAAGGACAAAAGAAACAAGGCACGAGCTCACGCTCAGATTCACTCGACTCACTCAGGGTCAGTCGTTACCCCTCCTGATCCAACAGATGCGTTATCTCGTTTTGTTGTGCTTCGAGGTGATGTGATGATTGTCGTCGGATCGGAGGCGAGAGTGAGCGAGCGTGAGCGAGCGAGAGTGAGGATGAGCGTCGCTGTCGTTGTCGTTGTCGTTGTCGTCCTCGTTGCGGATCTTGTCGTACGTCGATGGTGAAGGAGGGGGTTACAGAGAAGATGAGAGTTGAGCAAAAGGATCAAGCTATCACAAAGGAGTCGGGTCCCAATGCAGGTCCAAGCAAGGTCCCCAGGGGCAATGCGCAATCTGGACGAGGCTGATCTTTCAGCTTGAAACGCGTTGATACACACGGCTTGTTTGCATCAAACTCCACGTGGAAAAGTAACGAGCGAACAACAAAAGCCAGTCGCGCATCACGCATGTATACCGTAAAATGATTCTTTAGGAAGAGATACCCTCTCTGCTGTTGTCCTAACCCCTACAGGATCTCCTCCCTCCTCACGCCTTGCCTCGCACCCGGGATGACCCGTCGCCCCCTTGCGCTTGACCCTCGTTTCTAAGGCCCACGAAGCTTTGCAAAACGCCTTGGCTCATGCCCTTTCGCTTAGACCATAGGTTTTGAATAGCACTCTAGGGTTAATCTCCCATGCAACCCTATTGTTTGCCTAGTCTGGAAAGTTTGCGGAGGACGATTAGCTAATTCAGGTGCGTACGTCTTCGGCGGCACACTCCGCCGCCGCGAAGAAAGGGGGTGCCGCCCAAGGATCTTCTCTCCGTCAACAAGGGTCCCTCAAACTCCGAGAGAACCCTCCCGTCTTTGACCGCCCGTATCTACACAACCACTCAACGTAAACGGCTCATTCTTTCATGGGCAGGTAGCCGGGACCAAGGAGAACACGCCTATACAAAAAGGGATGCATGATGCAAAAGGGAAAGTCCAGGAAATTGACCCAAAAGATATTGCCTCGACTGAGAATCGAACTCAGATTTCGGGATTCCGTTTCTATCGAAACTCATGCTTTTGCATATGAGACCCGCGCCCTAACCGTTGGACGATCGAAGCATGCTTTATTAGATGCTGGTCAAGCGATTCAGAAGTTTATATTCTTGAGAACAGCTCAAGGAAACGATGGAAAATGAGGGGTTGATGGCGATGAAGACGGTTGACTCGACGGCGGCATCCACCGTCACATTCCGTTCAAACGCGCGAGAACGCGCTTTCGCCATTCCGGCCGCGCGCTTGCCTATCGCGTAGGATCAGCGTCGATCCACGGTCAAGGGCTGTCGATCCACGGTCAATTGCCGTCGATTCACGGTCAGGTCTTTTGGACCTACGGTCACATTTATCGGAATTACGGTCAGGTTTTTTGGAACGGTCAGATAAATTGATCTACGGTCAAGGCTATCGATTCACAGTCAGGGCTATCGATCCACGGTGAAGCACACTGATTCTATCCCATTGCGCATACGTTCAATTCATGCTAAGCAGCAATCCGCACTTGTATGATCGAGATCATCTATATATACTAGGACATGACGTATCCATCGTACGTCTTAGTGGTATGGTATAGACAAAAAACGTTTCGACACTGAGTAAGGCCATTGGTACAAGAATTGCGATGGAGATGGCATTGAGACGTATACATCTGGCAAAACAAAGGCATGTGCTTCAGCTGCCCACCCGCTGAGGTGGCATCAGATACCGCACTCACTGTCGTCCAGATCCCCTATACAGCTGGTCAAGGGGAAATGAGCGATCTGTCCCATTCTGCGCAGCTGTTGGGCGAGATGCAAATGACTGTGTGTGTATGTCTCTAGATCAGGTCTCACTGAATAATATAGCAGTGCATCTCATCAGATGAAGCAGAGCGAAGTCGAGAAATTCTGCGAAAGGACTGGCAGTATGAATAAAGTGCGACCGATCGAGGGACGACGGTGTCGTGATGGTGGGCTTCTTCGATTGATCGTGTGAATCGGGTGCGCTGATGTGAGGGTACCCGAATGTCGAAAGCTGACCTGAGGAAGCACAGGAGAGCCAGACAGAGCTGTTCAAGAGGCGAGAAGTGCGAGACGCCCCTCAGCTGTCTTTTTAGCTCGAACGGGGACGCTATGGACACTGTGTGAGTCAGTAGAGACGATGATGGATGGTGGTCCAAAGGGAGGTCGATCTCGAATCACGGCATTCGCTCTCTGTGATGGATTCAGCTTTGAATGTGAGTCGATAAGACGACGCTACATGGTCCGACGCATTGATTCCATGTGCTGGCCAGAGAGTTTAGCCGAGCAGACAACTGTCTCAGTATTCAAAGAAGTATATCACTCAGCCGTGTGGTATCGAACAGTTTATTGGCTACACACTTTGTCAGAGGGATGTGGGTTTCAAATTCGGGATACCAGAACGAGCCTATCTAGCATTCTTCTCGCCAAGATCCTTTCGAGAAATCGCTTGGCCGTGTCTTACATTCTCATCAACGCTAAGAGTAGGCACAAGGCGAACATTGAAGACGCAAGTGTAATGCAGCGAGAGCCCTGACGACGAATGAGGGGAGTCGCATTGCTGGACGACGAGTGGGACGAGTGGAGCCATCAACGGATATCGATCTCACGAGATGTGTGATGGCAAAGTGACACGGGGATCACAAGTCCGATGAAATACTTTGCCGATGACATCGACCGGAGACAACGAGCGGACCACGCTGTGAGACATCGCCACCATCAATGTGTGCGGCGAGTACTCTCCTCGACGACCATCAGCGTCAGGGCAGGACTGGAGGCTGATTCTCCTCTCGAGAGTGGTATGACGTTGGCAGTTGGGGCTTTGACACTGTTCTCGCGCCGATCTCGACCAAACCTCGGGTGCTAGCGATGCTCAGCATGAAACGTGATGGTATACTGATCACTGAGGCAGGGGTATAGCAATCCATCAGGAGACCAACACGAGGTGAGCTTGCAACGAAAGGACGTACAAATATGCAGTGCTTTATTAATGTTCTCAAGAAGAATATATCGTCATCTTGGACATCTGTTCGTTCTTGGGAACATTACTTTTCTGAACATTGCGAGTGTTCGAGAGTGTGTGTTTCAGGCACGAAATTGATGGAAACTGATGCACCAGACTTTCCGAGTAATTCGCCTTATCCGCTCGTCACCTCGCATGCCTGGGCTAGTATGATCGGTGCTCGCCGTCATTGCCAGCTGACTCGGAGAATCTGGTGCATCAGTTTGGCGTGATGCATCTACACTGACCCCCTCGTCTCACTTACGACTCCGCACGCTAGCCTCCCTCAGGATTATCGACAAGTGGTCACGAGGCCATCTTCCGAAGGATCTGAAACATGACAAGAACGATTGCTCTTGGCATGCGCGTTGATACTCGTACCGATGACCACGAGATTACTCTAATAATCCATGTGTCGTTTCTGAGCTTACGAGTCCTGTCAGAAGTCCGCTCCATCACATCGAAAAGTCACTGAGCTGAAGATGGCACGAGTTCTCCAACTCACCCTCCTTTGGACCAGCACGGCCGCTAGCGAGATCCTGAAGCAAGTCGCACTTCTCGAACCACTGCAGTCAAATGAGTATACTTCGATCTTGGACCTAGTTTTGATGGTACTGCAAAAGTAAGGTTTAGCTCAAGGCTGTACACCCAGGTAGAGTGACGGTTAACTCGGCTATCTCTTACAAAGCTTTGCTCTGTTTGACAGGGGGTCTGGACACCTCATCGCCGCAGCACACTCTTCCCCCCCGCCCTCGTCTCATCTTCACATAACCCACCATACAACACCAGCGTCCACCAAAAGCATAATTACATCTCCTCTCCTCTCCTTCTACAACTCGCACCGTACCTCTTCTTTTAAATCAGTACTCTTTCTCCCTTCTGTCCCCAGCACACACACCGTCTCGGCATTGTTCCCACCACCGTATTCAGTCTCAGCCTCCTTACTAGCCAAGAAGTCATCTTCTTACTTCTGTCACAGCGAAATCAGCTGCACTAAGACACAGAATGCCAAAAAGGACAAAGTCAAGGGGTGGTGAGTCACTGATTCACCTGCTCATGTAGCTCTCTCGCGAGCTGACCATATCTGTATCAACACAGTGTGCGTGATCGACCTCACGGTCGATTCGAGCTCGGAAGACGAAGAGAGCTCAACGAAGATCTCTCACAAACGAAGCAAGAGGAGTCGTGAGTTCAACCCAAATGACAATTCAGCCTCTACTGCTCGTACCGATTCCACAGGTGAATCACTGAGCTATAGGCATCGTCTACTCTCCCGAGCCCGACGCCGTACCACAGGAGCGCTCTTCTCCTGTCTCCCAGATTGGTGAGTGGTCTCTGGTCTCGAAGTAAGATGTTGATGACGTGAGACCATGCTGATGTATGTTCTGGTATACACTTAGCGCGACCACCTCTTTTGAATCTCGATACGAACACAGCAGTCGTCCATCCTGTCCCCGCCTCATCATCTACCGCCGCGAATACCTCAATGATTGTATCCGGCAATATTGATATCAACAGTAGGGACTACCTCGCAGGTCATATCAAGAGTGTACTCCGGGTCTTCGAAGCATACCGAGAGATCACAAAGATCACCCAGACCGAGCTCACACAGAATCAGGTGCTGTTGGAAGCAAGAATAGGCTCAGAAGGTCTCATCAAGGCGTTCTTTGAGGGTATGAGAGGCGTTGCGGCGTTCAATCAGGTCCGACTAATTGGAACGGTCGATCGCCTCACGCTGGATCAAGCAGCAGACGATATCATCATCGACCGCCCCGAGTGGCACAGTGTCGGAATTTATCTGGACCTCAGGAGAGAGAACATGAGATGGGCAGAGGGTATGAAGCGTATATAGGTTCCGCCGGTAGCCTTCAGCGAGCTGTTGGTGGAAGGTTTGACCTCGCCAAGAGAACATTGCTACAGCATGAATCCCATCACTCTCAATTGATGAGACAAAACCACTACCGTGGGCTATCCCCGTCATGTGCCGCACGCCTACGTATGCCTGTGGTCTCGTCTCGACCCTCAGCAATACACTCAAAGGGAGATTCACCGACTATGAACCGTTCATGAAACGGTTTAGTGACAATCGTGGAGGCTCTCCTCGTGTTCTATCGATCAAAATGATATAGGTTACACGCATTTAAGCTTACGTGCTCTCTTTTTCTCGTCTGACTGCAGTGGCGCGGTTCCTCGAAATGGCTGGCGCGCTCTTGGCCGCCACTAGGAAGCCCGTTTGATTCCGCGAATCGGCCAGGCTGGGTAACCCGTTCCGGATCCCGTCTAGGTGTGGCAGCAGGGGAAGAGCGTGAACCGGGTATGCTGCGCCTTTCCTGTTCCTGCCATCACGTCTTGTACACAAGAATGCCCTCCCCGGTTCCCCCCTTGCGTCATTCACAGTAGTCAGAACGCCTTGGACTGTGTCAATACTCGCTAACCTATTCTGAGGGAGAGCCGTAAGGCACTGCTGTACCATTGTTTACACAAATGTCTCGCGAGAACACCTGCATGCTGTCTCGCACAGTCGTTCAGTGGTGGCAGAGAAACAAAGGTGAAAAACTGTCGTATCGCCAGCTCGGTTCACCGTTCAGCCACATCCAAGTATCCGGCTCCCGCATCCGTCTTTATCCGCAACGGAATAACCGATCCATCGCCTCGAAGTCACCGGTATCAGCGGTGATCAAAGTGCACGTCCGATCCGAGAGAGTAGTAACCGTGTTCATCAAGCCGAAGACTAATTCCAGAGTAAATGACCACAGAGGCCAATGCCCGATCTCGTCGATTGGCAGTCAAGATCCAGGTCAACGATTCCAGCGCGTCGAGTGCTTGTCTCACCGCGATATATTAAATTTTCAGGGTTCAGGTCCCCGATCATGTCTCACCGAAGGTTGTTGTCTGCCTCATCGGATTGCACACATCGCCTCACAACTGTGCATCTGCATCGTAGTTCCCGAGCAGCATGCTTAAATCAAGAGTGCGACTCTACTCGGTTGGAAAGGATCGCGCAAGAGTAGGATCGTGTGCACGATGACGACGACGCCTGCCCAGATTCTGACAGTGCAGGCAGG